CAATAAGCGAATATTCACTATTTCGTAGTCGCTTTCAATAACTGTCACTGTTTCATTTTTAGAGAAACCTTAATTTTACTTCGTTTATATATACTCTTTTAAATTTATCAATGACTTTTGTAATTGTTAACTGTTTTTTAAAATTAATCGGGTTACTGAAAGAATCAGTGGCTCAATAAGCACTGAAAATCAGTTAAGTGCCTCTGGAGTCCCTCATAAAAGTTAAAGGAGTAAAGAAATTTAAAATTGAGAAAAAAATAAGATACAAATGGTGTGTACTTCTTTTTTAGATAATTATTGTCGCTAAAATCATCAAATATTTTTGTAAAAATAAAAGTAAAAATGAATCTCTTTTTAGGTGCCCCGATAACTGATTATTTAAAACCTAATTGAGTAGTTTTACGACATGAGCTTATTTGTATACATGTATTAAAAATAAAATATTAATTAAAATAATTGAAACAATTAGCATTGTAAATACTTATTAGACAAGTGAATTACATCCAGAGATGTTACAAAAACAATTTGTTATTTTTGTCACAAAATGAAAATTTGTAAAATATGCATCAAGGCAATTTACGTATGCATACAATGAAGAAAACAAAAACTGAATGCGCAATCGAACAGGGAAGACGAGAGATAAAACAAAAGCAGTACGTAGTGGAATAGAGGCAGAAGACAGCTATCGAGTTATTAGTAGAGGAGAGATGGAAAGACAAAGAAAGAGCTAACGTTCACCAGCGAGCCAGCCGTTTCGTTCCGTGACCTGACCTCATCTGAACTCCCCATTCCATTCTCAGCGTCGGTTCGCCCTAACACAATCACCTCCACAAATCCTCCTCGTCCCTTCTATCCCCTGACCGCACAACTGATGCTTCCCAGTAGTCTTACTATACAATATTAACTCTCAATGTAGAGCAACGCTCCAAATGACAAAATACTGTTTATCTCATGATTATTTTATATTTTCGAAAATCAATTTTTTTTTCTTAGATCAAAATGATCAATTCTTTCCATTATTTTGATTTATATTTTATTTGAAAATATTTAAATACACTGAGAAATTTCATTTGATATGATTTTTGACGTTGAAATAAAAAAAGAAGACTGGTTTTATTTTTTATTTAAATATTTTGATTTATTTGAGTTTCATAAGTAAGAGATAAGGAAAATATATATTAAAGCTATCAATTTTACCATCAATAAAAAACGATAGTTGAAGATTATGAAAAACTAAAATTAATTTTAAATACGTAAATACTTTGTATAACATTATTAGATTTATTGAACATGAAGATAATTTTTCTTTTACCAAAATCATCTAACATTAACAAAAATTACTTTCAATGTTGCATATAATTGCATAAATATATCTAAATGATTTTATAACAATTTGAGCTTATACATACGACTATATTAATTATAGTTATCACAACTAATTAGAAGTAAATCCTCGAACAGATTATTATTGAAATCTAATAATTACTTCATTTAATCTAGTAATTATCGCTTTCAGTTCAGATGACGATTTTTAAATTAAAGTAAAAATTTCCTATTTCGATACCTTTATGAATAATATTCTATTAATTTATATTGACTAGTTTCATTTTCATTTTTTAATAAAATTCAATAATTTTAGCAGACTTTAGTAGAAATTAAAAGATTCTTTGGTAAAATATCACGAAATCTCTTTTCTACATACTTTGCAATAACTTTTCCTATTTTTATTCAAAGAGCAAGGTGGAGGGGTTATTAGGGAAATTATTAAAATATTATTTTAATAATAATTAAATAAAAATTATTACCGTCAAAAACAGAAAGTGCAGATTTATCAAAATAAATGTTTTTTTTTTTATTTTAAAACTATACTATTATATTGATCGTAGTGAGTTAAGCCTGCTCCTATTTTTTACGCATGAAAATCTGTGAAAATTATACGGACTATGTCTTGATCTCCAGTGCGCTATTTAATGAAATAAAAGTAACAACTATTTTCGTTAAAAAAAAAAGACGACAACAAACTCATTTTTTCGACCTAGGATATAATGTAGACTGATAGCAAAAACCAGATATTAGTGAAAAAACAATAATATGGTTTATTTTGCATTTTGAATAGAGTGAGTATTAATTTTGATGTAACACCGTGAATTAATTCCGTTCGAACAACCGACTTTTAAATTTAACACGAGAAAGTTACGTGATGACAATCTTGTGGGAATATTTGAAATCTTCTAACCTATGAAGAAATCGGCGTCAATTAAATATATATTTACGGGTTGTGCATTTCATTTATTATAAAATTTGTTGAATAAAATGTCGACATATTTTCAACAAAAATAAATAATTTTTATAAACGTTTTTTCAAACTAATCGCACTAGAGAACAGATTGAAAGGGATTCATTTATTTCAAAACTTCACTCTCCATCTACTTTAAAATAAAAATTTTCATCCCTTATATACATTTCATGTCATCATAATAGTCCAGTCAATGTACAGCAGAAAACAGCAAATACTAGAGTCACTTGCTACTTTCATGCACCTTTCTTATAAGATACTCAAAACTGAGTACATTGTCCATACTATCGAACGATTAGAAAACTGTAATACCGATAAATTTGCGTGATAATCAACAAAAATGGCTGCCACGGTAAATTATTTTTTTAACTCGTTGAAATCAAATTTCTCAAAAATAAAATTGAATTTGAAAAAAGTAAGGTGATAAAAATATTCCCTAAAGTATAAAATATGTTTAATTTCTGCTTCGTTTCCAAGATGTAACATGAAATATGTGGATTCGTCCGAAATATTAATTTTTAACTTGAAAAAAATATTACGCGGCTGGCTTTTTTAGCTAAGAATAAGTTCATTGAATTCAGTTCTCTATAAAATGAGCCCGGTCTCGACTTGTGTCACGAAATTTCGTATTTAAAATGCACATTGACTGGACTATAAATGAGTCACGTTAAATTATATTGACTGATCAATTCAATTTTTTTATGCATCTTCTCGAGTTTGATGACTAAAAAGCGCTCATTCTGAAATCAATTTTGATGATAGCAATGAAAACAGGCCAGCCAACTCATTTATCGCAATGAGAAGTTAATGACTAATAGGAAGAATGAAAATCTAGCTGTAAACGTTTGTTTCTCAAACTAAACTAATAGGCAAAACCGAGATAAATTTGTTCGAAAAAAATTTTTAAAAAAATATCCATTAATAATGGATCTTTTAAAGTTAGTGTCTATGCTATTATAAAGAGCTGACAATAAACAAGGATAATAAATAATCATTTTCAATAAAATTTAATATAATATTAACTAAACCGGGTAAATTGATTTAAACATAGTTGTAAACTTATCTAATCGAAGAAAAAAAATTAATAATTAATATTATAAAATAAACTGACAAACATCCGATTGCGTGTCGATATCTTAATTATGTATTTACTTGCTAATTAAACCCATGTTTCACAAAAATTATTCCAAACTAAATTCTTAGTAATTGTTTCATAAATTATAACGTATTAGTCACATAATTATTAATATTTTGCATTGAAAATATTTAATTCTGATCTTATTCTATAAAAATAATAAATAAGTGGAACATCGATAATATTTGATAGAACTTTAAAAACTTTATACCTATACGTTTGAACAAGGACGGCCGTTAAATGATTATGAAGGTCGCAACTTTATAATGTTAACTGCGAGAGATGTGGTTATTACCATTATAATTATATTCAAAAACATTAAGAATACTTCAAAAATATATATGTATATATATATATATATATATATGTATATAGTTTCTACAGTAAAAGTCCAGGGTCAAAACAACTGGTGTGGTGAACTGAAAAAAAAGCAAACATCAACTCAATCAGTCAGTTTTTGGATATTTTAAAAAAAAATTGATTACTGTATTTATGAACATTTCACTCACCACAATTTATTGTATGACATTTTTCAAACACAGCAAATGATTAGATAGGAAGTTCATATCAGCTTATTGTTTACTATAAGCAGCTCTCTTACTTACATATGTTCGTACTTTATGTATATGTGTATATAACCCTTCGCTTTCAGCATCAACGAACGGCGCACGTGTACGTGCACGTGCTTATGATTTTATGTAGTCGACAATATTAAGTTGTTAAATAATATTTGTTAGTGAAAAATTTGATAAATGTATAAATCTGTTTATATACATCAAAAGACGAACAGTAATATTTGAAATTCTTTTTCTCAAGAACAACTGGTGTTCTTAAAACAGTTAGTTAATGGGGTCAAGAGAACCTAGCCTGGAGACATGCTCTTTTCTTTTATTAATAGATGCCACCTACTCGTCTTACCCAGCAAGCAAAGAGAAATCAAAAAGTAAAAAATATTCTGAAAGTGAATTTCATTCCGTGAATAATTTACGATGTTAGAGAGTCAAAATAAACGGTTGATTATAAGATAAGAATAAATAAAGTAGATCAATGCATAGGTTTACTTCTTCACCGTTAACCGGAGAGCGCGTGTACTCGTAGTGCGTGATTCCGCCTTGGTCTCTTGTCACGGTTCCATTAATAACACCCCAAAAAGATCTCTTGTACGTCTCTTCTTTGTGACATGTACATATACCTTTACACGTGCTCTCGATCGCGTCGTCAAGCCATTTTTGTTCTCTGTTATACCTTTTTTTTCTATCTCTGTTGTTTTCATAATCGAATTCTTTTGGTGTCGCACAAAGAAAAGAGTGACAAAGGTTGTCGATGAAGCAGAGGGGGCCCTCGGGAGTTCTTTCATTACATTTCCTGCGCTCAAAGTTCGTCCCTGGTTTGAGAATCGTCGGCTGGTTGTGTCTCGGACGTGACACGAGGTCGCGTGCGATCGGCAGTGGGAGTAGAGAGGTTGGCCAGGCGGATGCTAGACGGAAATACACGAGAGTTTACGAAATCACCCGAATGACGCTAACTCGAAGTGAGGAGTATGGACAGAGTGGGGGTAACCGGTGAAACTGTTAGTCCGAGCTCAGTAGTGCCACTACCGAGGTCGGAGTCGGAGTCGAGACTCGTGATCCATTGGGTGATCTCGCACAGTCGTTCGAGCCACTTCGCAGCAAGCGTGTGAATCATAACCAACCATTTATTCATTTAAAACATTTTTCGTTTATTCATTTCACCCAAGGTCAGAATAACCAATGATTTGTCAAGTCATCATTGGCTTGTTCCGGTACGCTGGACAGCTGCTCAAAGTTGCTGTGTAGCCTCGGGCCTCACAGAGAAATCCCTGGGATACATAAATGTGTGTCTTCTTTTCTTTTACTTTTTTGATAAGTAAAGAGACAAGAAGAAAAAAAGAGTGTTTATATTCAAGGTGTTTAGTGTGCTTAAGTTTATAACTTTTTAATTATATTAAGCTATTGATTAAGTTAAATAGTTTTTCACTAAAAGTGTATTTTATTGGAATTGAACTCCCTAAAGATAACAAAAGAAAGTGAATCTGGATATGTCAAGTTTATTCTTTTATTATAAAAGCTACGGATTAATTACAATACGTGCGCATGTGTCCAGTGGGATTTAATAATAAAACTCTCGTCGCCTATCTGGATAATTTGACGACGCCTACAGCCGGACTGTCTCATGTTAGGATGGCGCTGGCGCGGTATGTTACAGATATCCAAATACATTACACATATACTACATACATGTTCAATACGGGTTAATATCAAGTATTTCATCAAAATTAACTCATGAATGTTCATTATTAGTGATACCAAGTTGCTATTAAATCTATGAACAATTTTCGAAATATTGAGGTGAAAACAATCACTAAAATATTCTGAATTTCAACGAAAATTTAATCAACATGTATTTTGCACGATATATCATACACAAATATTCATTTTGAAAAATTGATAAGAAAAATTTCCCTTGACTGATTCTAAACTATGAGTGACAATTAAGGTCGAATGTGATGGAGTTCAATCGGGGGCAGAACCACACGGTGCAATAGCAGAGCTGTGCATAGCCTCGTTAAAGCTCGCGCTCGTTTGAGCTCTCCAATTGCTTCAAAAATTATTATCGGCCGCGATTCAAACCCGGATCGACCTCCTTGTAACCTCAAGCCCGTTATTTACGGTTGGCCCCGGAGTCCACGGCTTCGATTTCTCTTCAATGCTTAGAAACAACCTAAACAGTTTAGTGTTTATTTTCAAATTTGGATTTAATCTTCCAACACCTTGATTGATCAGCTTTTGTAAATTCTATTCAACACACATACTTTCATCAAGTTTTCTCTCTTCTTCTAAATCTTTATTCAGCTTTTACTTTCTATTACTAATTTTCTGAAAGTATGAAGTAAATTTATTTATCTATCAAGGTTTTATCATCTAGATAGACTTAGCTATTTTTAAGTAATATCATGATTCAATATATAGATTATATCTTTTTTAAAAGAAGAGTATAATTTAATTACATTTGGAAAATGTTCTTTAATCATTTTGAATAAATGTTTATTTTTTTATGAATATATAATAACTGGATTTAAATTCTTCTAAAACAAGTTCAAATTGAGCTTTTAGAAATGAACAAAGTTATTTTTTTAACTGAATTTTCTTAAATATAAGATGAAATTAAACAAAAAATATTTCATTCTCTTTAATTGCAGTTATAGAAAATAATAAAACATTTATAGTTAAAAATGAAAACAAAGAAAAATTTTTTCAATATTTTAAAAAAATAGTATACTATTGTAAAAAAATAGTTTTAAATAGTTTTAAATAGTTTAATAGTTTTAAAAAAATAGTATACTATTCATAAAAATGAATTGAAATGTAACACAGTGTAAGTGACATTGTTCTATTAAAGTAAAAACATTTTTTCACGAGTTTTACTCATTCATCCGTTATATGTGAATTTGTAGAGTATAAAAATCAATCATTTATATTCCATTGATTAATGATTAACTTTCTATAATAGTACAAATTTCATTTCCCCTCTGAAACCAAGGTGTGACGGTAGAATAGAAGAGATAATTTTGTAAATTAAATTCCAATCACGCACGTAGAATTCTCTTTTGATGTGTTCTGCTTCAATTTTTTGCTAACTATATTCTCTGTCCTGTTCGATTTAGATTTAATTAAAATAATAATGCAAATATATATTATTTACTTAAAAAATCAATTATAAATTATACAAACTTGAATTGGTCAATTAATTGAGAATAACAATAATAATAATAACATAATATATTATTAATATTATTTATAATTATTCAGATGTAACTACAATCAATATCTTCAGTTAGCTATATCATCTTTTTCTTGAAAATATTTTCTCTTTAATTAAGAGTTTCCTTTCGACATTCTTTTCTTATTTATTTCTGTAAAATTTATAAGCTTTTTCTGAATTTTTATTGTAATGTTAAAATTATCAAACTGAACTAGCATGAAAGTCAATCGATTGCTGATGTTAAGCAAAGTAAAAAGCTGTACGAAAGGGACACAGAGTAGAGGAGGGTAAGCTGTGTCCTCGCTCGTGGCAACCTTCGTTTCAAGGGTACAGTGCCGTCTATCGTATTTCCCAGATCATAAATTTCTCATCTTATACATTCGACGGGTTTTTAAATTATTATTTTCGTTTTTCATCGTTATCTTTTTTCTAATTCTTTTTGACAATACTCACATAAATCAGTGCATTTTATATTTTCCTTTGCTTATTACTCCAATGAGTATTATGAACTTTATGAACAGCCATCTGGAAAAAATGTTAGTGGCAACACGTGTGAATTTTATCTACTTTAAAACTCTGTACAATTATGTTTAAGTTCTTTTGTATTCCTCAAATGATTTTTGAGGATGAGCATAAAAAAGTTACTTTTTATTTTATCACAATTCAATTTAAAATGAAAATTATAAAATAATAAAATTATTGTCAAAGTGAAATTTTAGTGAGCATCTAAAATTATTCAAATATTTTCATTTTCTTTTTTTAACATAAATATAAAAAACTAACTTTCTATTACAGATATAACTTTAACAACTTAAAAACTCCAAACTAATAAGCATGTACGAGAAAATAACAGAAAAAGGTCTTTTAACCAATTCCATTAGTTAGGTATAATATATAAAATACACAAATGTTTCTTCTTTGCAATAAAAAAACATTCGACCTTAAATTATTTTTTTAAATGCTTCTTAGGATTTAATCCCCGAAGAAAATTATTCATGGGCAAAGCACGTTTTTGGTGTTATTTTCTTTCATTTAGTTACTTTTTTCTTTAGTTGTTTAGCTGCATTGGCTGAATGGTTGAACGGGGCCAGTGCCCCTGAAACGTGGGATACCAGACGACCTTGGAACTCACGGCCAATTTGCGAGTCCTTTATGTACTGACGATGATGATCCATGAGGCTCTTATTAGAATTAATAATTAGATCAATTGTGCTCACTTCGACCTCTTTTTCTTTTACATGACATTATTATTTTATCTACCCTTTTGTTAATTCTTAAGCTAATTTATTCTTAGAATTCGTAGCCTGCATTAAGTTTAAAAAAAATAAAATTTAAAAATATTAATAAAAAAAATAAAATATAATATAAAATAAAATATAATGAATAAAATGTCATTAGAATTGGTAATAATTGTCTAAGAATGTGAATACATCAATGAAAATACTTTCTTTGAATCTCGAAATTTGTAGGCCAAATAGCATATATGCCAATATCGGAGTGAGGTCTCGTTCTTTTGAATTGACATTATTAAATAAATATAGTGAAACTATTTCAAAATCGGCTTATTCAGTTTGAAGAATTTTTGAATTAAACTTATTTCATACGCAGATTTTATAGTGGTCATGTGATGAATGATAAAAGTCATATTGATTACTAAATAAGTTTAGATTAAAAAAAAATGATATCACATGACTACAATGAAAGTTTTTGTGTATTCGAGTCGAAGAGAAAAATCAAATTTCAACCTAATTCTTTTGAAACATAAATATTCCAATGAAAATTCAAACAGATTTCAACTTATACGTTTGAACCTGATTTTATTCTCATTTTCAAAAAGATCAAAATTAATTATGTATCTTAAATAATAGGCTAAAGTGAGATTTTTAGGTAAATTGAATATTTTTTCATAATTCGTAGTTTATTGAACTAATTCAAAATCATTTTGTACAATGCAATTGTAGACAGGCTTGGAATGCAAATCAAAGTAATTAAAATAGTTTTACTGAAAATCCTAACTCTATGAAAAATGGACATTTTATGGATGTAGCGCTTAGGTATTTTATTCAATAATTTAATAACTTATGTTTTAATTCACATATAAAGAAGATTAATATTTAAACCATAATATGGGAGAGAAGAGCCTAATTTTAATTAGAAATTACAAGCTTATGAGTATTTACATGTAATCATTAATGGATTTTTTTGATCTCAGCTACATAAATCTACGTCATATTCATAAAAAATTTGCTGCATGATAAGCCACGTGTGTAATGAAATTATGTAAACTGTGTGTGCTTGGCTGTGTATAAAATTTAATAGTTAATTAGTTTAATTTAATTTAAATAGTAATATTTAATGAAAATAATACATTGTGCATCAAATGCAATTTATTTAACGATTATTATTCAGCTGAACGAAATCTATTAATCAATTGAAATTAATTGTTTTATTATTTTGATTTAAATCTAGTTAAAATTAATCCTAGACATTTAAAAAAGTGTATGTTTAAAATAAACGATAATAATCCCTTGCCATGAAAATAATTTGCTGGTATTATGGAAACGTTTTCAAGATTATAAAAATACAGTAAAATCATTCACGTGGAAATCGTTTTTTCCTTTGAATACATAAATCTATCAATGTATTTAATGCCTAAAAATAAATTCGCCATTTAAAAGAGTAAAAATTATTCATAACATTGATATCTATAAATGTAATAATATTTATCGAGTTTTATTATGTAGTTGATAAATCACATGACTGTCATTAGAATCTGAACTAGATATATGCTGTAAGAGATTCAACTTTCGAATATGAGATGTATTAGAATTTACCCGAGTCAGAATTTTACTCTTATTTTGCCGCTGAACCTCCTGACAGTCGGGAGCATCAGCGGGAAAAAATTATTTTTTCGTATAAGAAAAGTAATACAAAATATTTTTATATTTTGCCGCTGAAACCCCTTCATAATTCCCGATTCAGCACCTTCAGCGGCATAATATTTCTAACAAATTCAGGGACTTCAGCGGGAAAATAATTTCAAAGGGTTTAGCGTAAAAAAAAATTCAGGAGGTTCAGTGGGATTTTTTCATTCAGGGGGTGCAGCAGGAAGTAGAGAAAAATCGTTGGTGTTCCAGGCGGTCACCCATCCAAGTTCTGTACACGAGAAATTTTGCTTAACGTCGAGAGATCGAGTCCAGGTCCATGCATCCACTGCGTTGTGTCGAATTAAAAATTTTTTTTTTTTCTACTTATTTAAATCCACAATAATTAATATTATAAATGAAATACTATTAATTGTAACTCAATCTTATAATGAAAAATTAATTGAAATATACAAAATAATTTAAAAAATATTTAAAAGTTGCAATTAATAATCACTGATTACTGAAAGTAACTCAATAATTTTTTTTTTTTAATAAATATTAATCA